GGGGCGGCGGCGCGCGGCGCCGCCCGCCCGCCGGCGCGCGCATCTGGTTGTAGTAGTCGCTCATACTCTTACTCGTCGTAGTCCTCTTATTGTTCGTGGTTTTCGTATCGTCGTCGTCGTCGTCTCGGGCGTGGGCGTGGCGCGGTTCTCGGAGGGGCTATTATAAAACTTCATGGCGTGCTTCGTTGATCTTCAGGTGCGAGATGGATGGGCTGCGAGACGGTGCTTGCAGACGGCGCCAACTCGCTGCTCGAGATTGGGCGAAGTCGGCCTTCCAATCTTCAAGGTGCACTGCGCTCACAGGCCAGCGAGGTGATGCGTAAATAAATTGCAGGCAGCCCTCGCATGGCGCGCTCCATCGTCGTGTGGTGGCTCGCCGCCTTCGTGGCGATCCTGCTCGTCGCGCACGTGCCGCTGGCGCGCATCGCGCACCGCGAGGCGCGTACGACCCACGCCGGGCTGCCGCCCTGCGGCCCGGAGCCCCACCTCGCGCCCTGCGCGCGGCACGAGGCGGAGACCGTGGGCGCGTGGATCGGCGAGGCGGCGCTGCACACGCTGCGCGCCGCGAGCCGCTCGGCCTACGTGCTCCTGCAGGCGGAGCACGAGTCGATGCTCCGGAGCAGCGCCGCCGTCGTCGTCCGCGACGCGCCGGGCGCGCCGCGGACCCGCGCCGCGCCCCACCTCGTCAACCGGACGCGCGCCGCGGGCCTCGCGCGGGACCTCGCGCGGCGCTACGAGGCGAGCGGGAGCGCCCCGCGGCGCGGCGCGGCGGAGGACGCCGCCTCGCGGGAGCAGCGCCGGATGCGCATCGACCCGCACCTGGGCAAGGAGGGCCGGCCCCCGGCGGACAGGCCCGTCGGGCCCCACAGCAGCGTCCTGCCCTTGGGCGTCGACTACGCCGTCCACGCGGACCACACGGTCGCCGCGCAGCGGAGCCGCCTCGCGGTCCTCGGCGGCGCGCCCGGCCTCAGCCGGGCCGAGGAGAACGGCATGACCCTGGACCAGCTCGACCGCTACCTGCGGAAGCAGACGGCGGCGCGCGGCGCCCGGGGCAAGAAGGCGCGGAAGAGCGCGGCGAAGAACTGCGCGCGCATCCTCGAGATCCACGAGCCGGGCGCCGACTGCGAGGCCATGCCGAACTCGCGGCCCTGCAAGCGGGCCGTCGCCGCGCGCGCGCGGTCCACCGCGCGGGGCGGCGAGCTGCCGCGGATCTTCGCGATCTCGGACCGCAAGGACTACAAGGACTTCGTCCGCGACGAGCTCGTCGAGCTCGGGCTCTGCGGCGCCGAGTTCCTCCGGAACGAGACGGTCGCGGCCGCGGGCCTCGGCTTCTACCTCGGCGAGCAGTTCGAGTCCAACGCGGCGCCCCGGGCCTTCTGGGCCGAGCACAACTCGCCCGCCTTCGCCGAGGGCGCGGCGATCGGCGCGATGCCCGGCGTCATGCCCCTCTTCGGCACGAAGCAGTCCTACGCCGACTTCTACTGGAAGTGCCGGTCCATGGCGGGAAACCAGCACTTCAAGAGCTCGCTCTGCCCCGACGCCTGGGTCCTCTCCTGGAACGTCAACGGCGAGGAGCGGCGGTGGAAGAAGAGCTTCAAGCGGCAGGCGCTGAAGGAGCGGGACGTCGAGCACTTCCGCGGCGTCTACGACACGCTCAAGGCCATGCGGAAGACGGAGCCCTACCCGCTCGTCTTCATCGTCAAGCCCCAGAAGGACACGTACCTGAGCCGCGGCATGCACCTCGCGCGCCTCGACTCGAAGCACGTCAAGGACCGGAGCGCGCTGCTCCGGTGGATCCAGTCGCACGTCGTCGACAAGTCCTGCGACAAGAAGTGGGACGACATCCGCTGCGCGCGGCGGCGCGTGACGTTCCAGCTCTACGTCCAGCGGCCCGCGACGGTGCACGGCCGCAAGTTCGACATGCGGTTCTGGGTGCTCTTCACGTCCCTGGACCCGCTCCGCGTCTACGTCATGCGCCACGCCTACCCCAAGGTCGCGACGAAGAAGTACGCGGGCCTCGCGGACCTCCAGGACCAGTGCGAGCACATCCGCCTGCTGCTGGACCCGTCGTGCAACGAGTCCGTCGCGCAGTTCCTGCGGCCGTACCCGGACGGCTACCCCAAGTCCACGGGCAGCCCCATCTTCTTCGAGGCGCTCGACTTCTGGAAGCGCCACGCGAGCCGCGACGAGCTGGGCAAGAGCTCCTGGGTCGCCAAGGAGTCCTACTGGCAGTCGACGGTCTGGCCGTCGCTCGAGCGCGCGTTCACGTCCGTCGCCATGCTCGCGCGCGACTCCCTGCTGGCCGCGGCCCGGGACGCGCCGGCGCCCGCGGGCGGCGCGCCGGCGCACCGGCGCTTCGCGCTGCTGTCGCCGGACCTGGCCGTCGACGACGAGGGCGCGGCGTTCATCGAGGAGATCAACACGAACGGCATGATCATGGGCACGAACGAGCGCGGCGGCGGCTACAACGACCTCTTCCACGACGACGACTACCTGCGCGGCTTCCTGCGCATCGTCGGCGCCGACGGCTTCCCCCGCCGGGGCAACTACTCCGCGAGGCTCGACTCCGAGATCGCCGCGTGGTGCGCCCGCCGCCGCGGCGGCGCGCGCGGGGGCTGCGCGCCGGAGCTCGTCGACGAGCTCGAGCGCACGGTCCACGAGGAGGCCCACGCGGGCAAGCACTGGTACCGCCTCTACCCGCCCCTCCCCTGCCACAAGCGCCACGGCCACGTCTGCGACGTCGACGACGACGGCAAGTGGTGGCCCGAGCAGCACCGCGTCACCAGAGAGATGCGCAAGGCCATGCGCGAGCGCGACCTCGACGAGGCCGTCCGCGCCTTCGTCCGCGACGTCGACACCGAGGCCATCCACGGCGAACCCATGGTCCCCGGCCACGCGCGCTGGTACCCGCGCATCTACAACGGGCTCTACGCGCCCTAAGGTCTGCAGACCGCACGTTTCGCCAGTCGAACGAGGCGCAGGGAGGAATCGGAGGCGGCGAGCCGGGACCGGCCACGGGGATGGCACGATGCGGACCGGTGGAGGACTCGGGTGAGGATGAAGACTGGCGACGAGACTGGAATTGCCTTAGAAACGATCTTGACGTATCGAGAGGCGCGCCGCGGCCCCCAGATCTGTCTTGCGTGCCAACGATACGCGCGGCGAAGCACATCATGGAGTCATACTTTCCGGCAACGAGTGAAGCCCTCGGGCTTTCGCCGAAGAAGAAAAAAACGGAGCCGGAGCCGGAGCCGGAGAAAAGCGCCGTGACGGCGTACGTACTCAAGCTCAAAAACGCCTACGAGAAGCGCACGCGGCGGGAGGTGATCTACGCGTTCGCCTTCGCGCTTCCCGCCCTCCTCGCGGGGCTCGCGGCGCATTGGTACGCGACCGGCGGTTTCGACGCTTTCGCGGCCAACGAGGAGGTCGCCAAGAAGGCGAACGCGGTCGCGCGGCTCCTCTCGCGATTCAACCCCTTCAAGGCCAAGGCCGCCCTCCCCTAGTACCGCCACACGATCTCGAGCCCTCGGTCTCGGTGACGAGCCCCGCCGCGGCGCCGCCGCGGGGCGGCGCCGGGGCCCGACCTCGCGGCCTCGCGCGCCAAGCCTGTAACTAAACCCGCTTCCGAAGCACAGCGTCGCGATGAATCACGACACCGGTGGATTCACTATCACATGGCCGATCGGCGGCGGCGCCATCGGTGCGGCCCGGCACGCGAGCCCGGACGGCTCGAGACGGCCCTCGACATCTCCTCGACGGTCCACTACGTGCTACGTAGTGCTACGTCCACACACCGGCATCACCGTCTCGCGCGCGCCGGCGCCGGCTTTGAGCGCGCTCTCGCGCCGTTTTAGGGGTTGTGTCGCGTCGCCCGCCCCCCTCAGAGTCCATCGCCCGCCGCGCGCCTCGGGGGGTGGCGCCGAAGGTGTTGAGCGCATCGAAGGCGCTCGAAGACGCCGTTGAGGTCGCGAAACGTGTGCGCAAAAGCCCCCTGACGCGCGCCCGCCCACGCGTACCCGCCAAAACGCGACTTACATACCTGGAGCGGCGCGCGCGCGCCTCGGACCCCCCCCCGAAAGCGACGGGCGCGCGCGCTCGCGACATCGGCGACGACGTCGAGCATCTCGAGCCGCTTCGCCGACATCGCGCCGCCGCAGGCGAAGTGAACCATGAACTGGCGCAAGGACTGGCGCAGGGGCGTCTGTACGCTTCTGATCGTTATCGCCGAGGCGCACCGCGTCTACGACGCCACGCACCCGCGCACGCGCAAGCTGGGACCCGGGGCCGCCGGGCAAGGCGCGCAGCAGGGCGCGCCTTTGACGACGCCTCCGCTGATCTACCTGAAGCTGCATAAGACGGGCAGCGAAACGATGGAGGTGTATTTCGAGAAGCTCGCCAAGTTGGACTGGAGACACCGGACGGAGCGCTACGCCTGGCCGACGAAGGCACCGGAGACTATCTATTCTTTGAGGAGCGACGCGAATCTGAAATTCGAGAACAGTAGCGCGAAGCCCGGAGCGCGACTCTGGACGTGCAGCCAGGGCCACACGACGCTGCGGATCATGAAGTGGGGCGGCCTCCAGGGGCTTTTCGACTGCGTGGTCCCCAGGCCCCCGCGGGTGCTCGTCGCCGCGTCGTTTCGGGACCCGACGAGCCGATGGCTGAGCTCGTTCTTCTACTTCATGAAGCTCCCGAGTGACAAACTGGCCGAGACCTTCGACCCGATCTTCGCCGGGACCCGAACCCTCACGATCGAGCTCCTCCAGACGTTGTCGCGACCAGGGCAGCAAAAGGGTGCGACATTCTCAACTTTGAAGGCCCATATCTCGGTCAGGTTCCACTCGTTTCAGCTGATTTTTGGACGAGGGATCATCTCTCTTCAAGGTCTCGAACACTTGGATGCTTGTTCCGAAAAGAAATAATCGCGTAACACTCGAGTTGAAGTGACGTTTCGGCCCCCTTTTCCCACCCAGGTCGCGACGCGTCTTTTGCGACATGTGCGCGCGGGGCTACCCGAGGCCCGAGGAGGAGTACAGCTACTGGCTCTCGGGCCCCGTGGCGCGGCTCCGGGGTGGCCGGAAAGGCAAACGCACCGACAAAGACGGAGGCGGCGTCCTCGCAGACGACGGCGGCGCGTCCGCGGCCGCCGCCGTACGAGCGCTCGACGGAGTCGACGTCGTCGGCCTAACGCGCGATCTCGACGCCTTTGCGTTCCTCGCCGCGCGAGCCCTGGGCCTCGACAAGCCCCCGTCCTGTATTGTCACCAAAAACACGGCCGGAAACGGCGGAAGCACCGCCCTCAAGAGCCCCGACGCCGTCGCGCGTCGCGCGAGACGCCTCCGCGGCCTCGACTGGCACGTCATCCGTGGCAACATCTCCCAAGACGTCCTCGACTTCATCTCCAACCGGCATCCAAACGACAACCTCGTCTACGCGGCCGTCGAGGACCGCTACGCGCGCGACTTCGACGGCCTCGACGAAGAGGCGCGACTCCAGCTCGACCTCTTCAGGAGTCGATGCAGCGACGACGACGCAGGGCGGCGCCGGGGCCCGACCTCGCGGCCTCGCGCGCCAAGCCTGTAACTAAACCCGCTTCCGAAGCACAGCGTCGCGATGAATCACGACACCGGTGGATTCACTATCACATGGCCGATCGGCGGCGGCGCCGTCGGTGCGGCCCAACAGTGGCAACACATGAGCCCGGACGGCTCGAGACGGCCCTCGACATCATCATCATCACGGTCCACTCGAAACCGGCGAGTGTGCACAAGAATGGAGTCCGCTCTTCTGCGCCGCGTGCTCGCGCTCCTCCTGGCCTCGGCAGCGGTCGTCGCAGCGCTCGTGCCACACCGACGCGCGCACCCAACCACGACGACGCGCCTGCGCGCCGAGCGGAAGAAGCGCGAGTCCTGGGACGAGGCCAGCCCGGTGCGCGCGTCGCGGCCCATCCCGCGGCACCGGCGCCTGGCGTCCAAGGGCAGCTCGCGGAAGCAGTCGGAGCGGCTCGAGAAGGGCGAGGTCGGGTCGCCGACGCGCCTGCGCGTCATCGCCGGGTCCGCGCGCGGCCGGAAGCTCGACTCGCCCGAGACGCTCCTGCGGCCGATGATGGGCAAGGTCCGCGAGGCGCTGTTCTCGACGCTCGTGAGCCTCGGCGTCTTCGCGGCGCCGCGGCGCGTGCGCGCCCTCGACACGTTCTGCGGCAGCGGGTCCGTGGGCGTCGAGGCGCTGAGCCGCGGCGCCGCGGCGGCGACGTTCGTCGACCTGAGCCGCGACGCGTGCGACGTCGCGCTCCGCAACGCGCGGGCCTGCGCCTTCGACGACGTCGAGGCCATCTGCGCGACGGCGGAGGACGCGCTGGCGACGCCCGCGCTCCACGGCGGCGACCGCCGCTTCGACCTCGTGACGCTGACGCCGCCCTACGAAGAGGTGTCCTACGCGGACCTCGCGGACCGCGTCGCGGAGTCGCCGCTGCTCAACGACGACTGCGTCGTCGTCTTCGAGTACCCCGTGGAGCTCGGGTCGCTGCCGCCGAAGCTCGGGAGCCGCGACCAGCTCGTCGGGCTCCGGAACCGGCGCTACGGCCGCACGGTCCTCGGCTTCTACGCCTACAAGCCCACGGGCAAGGTGCCCCTGGACCCGCGGCCCGCGGAGTTCGAGGGGTTTTAACTGGCTTTGGTGTGTTATGTTGGCTTGGGGAGCAGGCAAGGGAGCGGGGCTCGACGACGAGGCTCGCGCGCCGCGGCGATCCTCCGAAGAGGAGCGGCGACGACGACGCGGGCGGTCGAAGCAAAGCTCGGCGGGTGGGGGCGGGGTGGTGACGTTCGGTGCATGAAGGGTGGGGGCGCGTGTCGGGGGCTGGCGCCCGACGCGGGCCTCGGCGGTCTGAGGAGCCTCTCGTGACTCCAGACGCGCGCGTGCTTGGTGGAGCGAACTCCTCAGGCCTCGGCCTCGGCCTCGTCCGCGGCGATCGTTGGCATGCTCTCGCGCCGGTGCTGGCGTGCAGCGACGACGCGCTTGTAGACGAGGAAGAGGATGGCCGCGACGAGGAGCACGGCCGCGATGACGACCGGGATGACGATCGCGAGGGACGCCGCGCCGCTACCGCCGCTGCTGGAGCTTCCGCCGCACGCCGGGCACGCCGGGCACGGCAGAGGCGTGTAGGGTGTCGGCTCGAACTTGACGTCCGTGAGCACGACGTCGGCGGAGGCGTGCCACGGGGCGCCGATGTAGACGGGCTGCTTCCCGGCGACGAGGTTGCGCGTCGCCGACGTCGTCCTGTCCGTCGTGACGCCGTCGATGATCGTGCTCTGCGTGTAGAGCCCCGTCGAGGCGTCGTAGGCGCAGTCGACGACGACGTCGTAGGTTTGGCCGGCCTGGAAGATGGCGCCGTCCCTGGTCGCGGGCGCGTAGTACGTGCCCCACTGCACCGCGCCGTCGTATAGAGTCACGTGGAGCTGGCCTCCCGGCGCGAAGAACAACGCGGGCTGACGGAAATCGCGTCCTCCTCCCTCCCCGATCTGGATGATGGACGGCCAGCTGTTTCCGGTGGCGACGACGAAGCCGGCCGCGATGGCCATCGTAAACGAGAGGTGGAACTCGTCCGACGGCGTCACGTAGCCGACGAGCGTCTGCTCCGCCGCCTTGGCGGACGCAACGAGCGTGCCGCTACCGCCGTTGCTGGAGCTTCCACCGCACACCGGGCACGCCGGGCACGGCAGAGGCGTGTAGGGCGTCGGCTTGAACTTGACGTCCGTCAGCACGACGTCGGCGGAGGCGTACCACGGGTTGCCGATGTAGACGGGCTTCTGGTCGACGAGAAGGCGCGTCGTCGACGTCGTCGCGTCCGTCGTGACGCCGTCGATGATCGTGCGCTGCGTGTAGAGCCCCGTCGAGGCGTCGTAGGCGCAGTCGATGACGACGTCGTAGGTCTGACCGGCCTGGAAGATCGAGGCCGGGTCGCTGGTCGCGGGCGCGTAGTACGTGCCCCACTGCCCCGCGCCGTCGTGTAGAGTCACGTGGAGCTGGCCTCCCGGCGCGAAGAACAACCGAGGGCTGACGGATCGAGTCCGAAGACCCGATATAGATGATGGATTTCCAGTCGCCGGAGGCGACGACGAAGCCGGCCGCGATGGCCATCGTAAACGAGAGGTGGAACTCGTTCGACGGCGTCACGTGGCCGACGATCGACTGGTCCGCCGCCCTCGCGTACGCGACGATCGTGCCCTCGGTCTTGGGCACGGGCGTCGGCTGCCGGTGATCTGGTTGGCGCGGAGGACCCTGCGACGCCGAAGGTCGGTCGCGCTGCGCGCCGGGCGTCGCGGACGCGGGGGGAACTCGCAGGGCTTGCAGCGCCGTAAGCTGGCCGATCTCGGTCGGCAGCGGGCCGACGATCTGGTTGACGCTGAGGACCCTGCGACGCCGAGGGACGGTCGCGCGCCGCGCCGGGCGTCGGTATCTTGCCCGGCGGCCCCGGGTCCCGGCTTGCGCGTGCGCGGGTGCGTGGCGTCGTAGACGCGGTGCGCCTCGGCGGTAACGATCAGAAGCGTACAGACGCCCCTGCGCCAGTCCTTGCGCCAGTTCATGGTTCACTTCGCCTGCGGCGGCGCGATGTCGGCGAAGCGGCTCGAGACGTTCGACGTCGTCGCCGATGTCGCGAGCGCAGACCCCTTCGCTTTCGGGGGGGGGGGGGTCCGAGGCGCGCGCGCGCCGCTCCAGGTGTGTAAGTCGCGTTTTGAGGGTTCGCGTGGGCGGGCGCAGGGGCGCACGTTTCGCGACCTCAACGGCGTCTTCGAGCGCCTTCGATGCGCTGAACACCTTCGGCGCCGCCACCCCCCGAGGCGCGCGGCGGGCGATCCAACCCCTAAAACGGCGCGAGAGCGCGCTCAAAGCCGGCGCCGGCGCGCGCGAGACGGTGATGCCGCGTCGAGGAGATGAGCGCTTGCTCAAACTACGAGCTGCTGACTTGGCCGGAGGTCGGTGAGGCCGGACAGCGACTCGCGAACCTCGACACCTCTCACGACCCCACGCATAGCTCCTCCGAAATCCCGGCCCCTTTGGAGGCCAGCACCCTGTACTCGTGTATTTGCACTTTAGGGGTGCGGCTCATCGAACTCATCGAGCCGATAGCCTAGATAGGGGCGCTTGCACAGACGACTATATGACGCTAGAGAAACGCGCCGGGGACGAGGAGCTCATCGAGAGCTATCCACGCGCCGCCGTGAGAGAAGTATGCGATTAAACGGCCCAGTTCTTGCCCGCCTTGCCCTTGGCGGCGACGGCGTCGAGCCAGTCGGGCACGGGCTGGCCCGCGTCCCTGGCGATCTTCGCGAGCGCGCCGGCGCACTCCGTGTCGTAGGCCGGGTTCCAGAAGGTCACGGAGCGGCCCGACTTGCCCGCGCGGCCCGTGCGGCCGATGCGGTGGACGTACTGCTCCACGTCGCGCGGCATGTCGAAGTTGACGACGACGGACACGTCCGGCAGGTCGAGGCCGCGCGCGGCGACGTCCGTGGCGAACATGAGGGGCCACTCGTTGGTCTTGAACTTGCGCAGCGCCTCCTCGCGCTCCGCCTGGGACCGGCCGCCGTGGATGGCCGACGCGCCGAAGCCGTCGGCCCAGAGCGACTTCGCGAGGTAGTCGACGCGGCGCTTCGTGTTCGTGAAGCAGATCATGCGGTCGCTGTCGGCCATGCCGTCGATGAGCTTCGCGAGCTGCTCGTCCTTCTCCGAGTCGTCGAGCTTGAAGAAGGACTGGCCGATCGCCGCGTTCGCGCGGAGGCCCGAGCCGTCGCCGTCGCCCAGCGCGCCGCCGATGGACACGACGAGCGGCGGCCCGGCCGCGCCCCGGGCGTACTTCGACGCGAGCTTGCGCACGCCCGCGGGCCAGGTCGCGGAGAAGAAGAGCGTCTGGCGCTCGACGTCGGCGCCCCCGTCCATGGCGTCGACGATCGCCGCGAGCTGCGGCTCGAAGCCCATGTCGAGCATGCGGTCCGCCTCGTCGAGGACGACGCAGGCCACGGCGGCCAGGTCCAGCGACCGGTCGTCGACGAAGTCCTTCAACCGCCCCGGCGTCGCGACGACGCAGGACGGCCGCTTCGCCCGGAGCTCCCGCTGCTGCCCCCGCCGGTCCGCGCCGCCGTAGACGACGACGGTCTCCATCCGCCCGCCCCAGGCCGCCGCGTCGGCGCCGATCTGGATCGCGAGCTCGCGCGTCGGCGCGAGCACGACGACGGCCAGGGACCCGGCAGGCGCCGCGGCCGCCGCGCGGAACGCGGGCAGCAGGTACGCGAGCGTCTTGCCGCTGCCCGTCTTCGCGAGCGCGACGACGTCGCCGCCGCCGCACGCCGCGGGCCAGGCCACGGCCTGCACGGGCGTCGGCGCGGCGAAGGCCGCGCCGAGCCGCGCCGCGACGTCGCCGCCGAAGAGGGCCGCGGCGCCGGCGAACGCGACGACGGGCTCGACGGCCGCGGCCGGCGCGCCGTCGCGCGTGCACGCGACGGCGTGCTCCGCGAGGTAGGCCGCGCCGGACGCCGACGCCGGCGGCGGCGCCGCGGCGGTCGGCGTGGCGTCGCCGTGCGCCGCCGCGTCCGGCGCTGCTTTGCCCTTCTTCGCCTTCTTCTTCTCCACGGCTTTCGCGATCTCCGCCTGCGTCGGCTCACGTCCGAGCTTCGCCAGCAGCTTCTTCGCGCACTTGCGCGCGATCTTGGCGTCCTTGACGACGCCCATTTTTTGTTGTGTTGCGCTGGACAAAATGTCTAGTACATCGCCAGTCTTCTCGAGCTTACGGAGTCGTCAACATGCCGTCGCGAGGCCTGTGGCGCGTCGAGTACGGAGACGTACGATGATCTCACGAGAGCCTGCAGGCTTCGACGAGCTACACGAAGTCGTCAACATGCCGTCCCGGCGATACTTGTGCAAATTTACCCCGCCCCCGACGCCGCGGCGTCGGCGAGCGCGTACATGGAGCGGTCCTTGAAGCGCTTCGGCGGCGGCGGGTCGCCGTTCGGGTTCCTCCCGACCTGCGCGAGGAGCCGCCGGTCCTCGAGGTCGATGGTGAGCCGCGTGCGCTCGAGGAACGAGAGGCCGATGAACACGACGTGGGGCGGCGCGTCGTCGTCGGCGCCGAGGCCGACGCGCCGGCGGCGGCCGTAGGCGTTGCCCTTGTCGAACCAGGGCAGGCTCGTCTCCGTGACGATGAGCGGGAACTCCGCGCCGCGGCGGTAGCGCGCCACGAGCGACACGTCCCTGCCGCGCTCGGTCTTGAGCACGACCTCGACGCAGCGGATGGCCGCGCCCGGCAGGGGGAGCTCGTCCGTGCCGAGGAGCGTGTCGGAGACCGTCGCGCCCGTCGTGCCCGTGTCGAAGACGACGACGACGGGCCGCCTCAGGCGCACGGGTTCGCCGTTGACGAGGAGCCTCGCCGCGACGGCCGCGTAGGGCTCCACGGGCGCGCCCAGGGGCCGCAGGTCCACCATGGGCACCGCGTCCGCGCCCCGGGGGATGAGCGGCCCGCCGGTGGAGATCTCGAGCGTCCGGTCGCGCGCGTCGTCGAGGTCGAAGCGGAGGCTCTGCGCGTCCGCCTGCTCGAGGAACGTCGGCCGGATGAAGGGCTGCCGGTGCTTCACCAGGCCCAGGTAGACGCCCCCCTCGCCGCCGCGGCCCTTGAAGCTCCGGATCGCGCCGAAGACGCCCGGCTCGACGACGAGGCGCCGGTCGCCGAGCTCGACGCGGCCCCGCCGCCACTCGACGAGCGTCTCCTGGCCGCCGAAGCCCTCGACGGACTCGTCGTTGAGCGCGCCCTGCGCGCCGCGCGCCGCGCTCAGGCCGCCCCGGGGGTAGCAGCCCCAGCGGCCGTTCCGCAGCTCGCCGCACGTGCCGTCGACGAGGAGGAAGGGCGACCCCGTGTCGACGACGCCGCGGAAGGTCGCGCCGTCCACGCGGTACGTCGCCGCGAGGCCGCCGCCGCAGGGCGCGAGCGGCAGGACGGCCAGCGTCGGCCGCGTCGCCCGGGCCGGCGCCGGCGCCAGCGCCGCGCCGGCGCCGCAGAAGCCGCAGAGGGCGCCGCGGCGCGTCGGGCCCAGGGCGGCGGCGACGCGAACAAGCAACAGGATCAGGCGCATTGCGGAAGCTAGCGGCGCTCCATCACGCGCTCCGCTAAGCAGGAGCAGGCGCATCGCGGAAGCTAGCGGCGCTCCATCACGCGCTCCGCTAAACAGGAGCAGGCGCATTGCGGAAGCTAGCGGCGCTCCGTCCTGCGCTCCGCGGAGCCGCCCCAGCCCCACACGCCGAGGCAAAACTACTTGTTCAACGACGACCTCAACATCGAGACTCGAGCGATTAGGTCGGCGAGATTGGCGGCGAGACGGGGAGCGCGGCGGCGTCCCCGTCCGGCGGCGGCGGCGAGACGTCGACGGTCGCGCCGACGGGCGGCGGCGGCGCGAGGCGCGCGCGGACCGCGGCCTCGACGGCGGCCTCGTCCACGCCGAGCTGCGCCGCCAGCGCGCGGAACCGCTCGCCGTCGGCCCCGTCGAGGAGCGCCGTCGCCGCGGCGACGAGCGGCGAGGTCCCGGTCGTCCCCGGGCGCTTCGTCAGCCGGTCCTCGAGGTGCGCGCGGACCGCGTCGAGCGCGCGATCGAGCT